GCGCTAACTCATCACTGTCCGCGTAACTGACAATGATCCTAAATGTTAATCTTATTGTTTTAATAAAAAGTACATATGTAAATGAGAGCAAATCCCAACCGTGTCTTTACCGAAATGGTAGCGATATTTAGTGTCAACATTTAGAAGCCACTTTCACCATTCGACGATCAAGGTTTCCCCGCAAAATGGCCGCGGGTAATGGACAGCGATCGCCATTGGAACGCTCGCGATCTTAGCTCAATTTCGCGTTTCGCCGTGGTTGCGCATTATCATCGCGTATCATCTCGCCGTGGCGAGAGTTCGGTCCACGCGAGAATTATCGACGCTCGTTGATGCACGTCGCTGTAAATAACAGTTTTTATGCGGTTTTTATCCCCTACCGTTTCCCCTCCCGGTCCGAGATTTATTTGAAAAATTTTTGCTCGGAAAATAAAACGAAAAAGGAAAGGAGAAAAGAGATCGAGGGGCTCCTCAACCCTCTTCTTTCTTTCTCCCCACTGGCCAGGCTGCTGCTGCTGCTGCTTGCCTGGGCCCCTCTTGAAGTGGCCGCGCATAAGCGTCGTCATACTTTTGCTGAAGGTACCCCTTGCAGCCCGGCTACGTGGCGGAATGCGTTGGTGAACGCGCTGTGGGTGATTTTTGCAGGGCCGTACCGGACCCTTCCTCTATCTTTCCAGCTAAAATATTCGCGACCGATCGCGAACGGACACACACTGGCCCACGTCTCGGTATGATATATTTCCTCCGCGACGAACGTGTCCACGAAGATCCGATGAAATTTATTCACTGGTAAGCGCAAGAAATATAACTCAATTTCTAATTGCGAGCGCAGACCAAAACGTGGGTTCGGTGACCGACAATTAATGTATTCCGCCGTGTGGCTGTAAGGAAGGACTTTCTTGTTTCGATGTCGCAATCCTGTGGTACGAAGGGCTCTGATTTCGTGTAAAGGGAAGTATGTATGAACGTTTGATAAGTTTCGAGTATTGTGTTTGAGAGGAGTTGGCATTGGAGGAGTCCTTGTCGCGAGATTTAAGAGTAGCAGGTCTTTAAGACACCTCGAGTATATTCTGATTGCTAATAAAATATGAAATATGAAAGAAAAATATTGCATTTGTGTAGGCTGAAAGTTATCCGTGGCGATAAGTGTTTCCAAAGCTGATCGAGTGTCGGTAAAGATCAAAGAAAGTTGTAAAATACAAAGTTACTTTTTAATGTTTTCAACTAAGGTACACCTTGCCAAAAAGTTTGAGGATAATAGTTATGTTAAGATGTTGCTACTAAAAGAATATAAAAATAATCGCTTTAATATTTCAAAGGAAATTCCCACTTCTTTGAATTTTTCATTTTTCACAACTAGAGTTTGCAACGAAAAAATCGGAAAAAATTCCATAACATGTGCCTTAGTGTATGCAACGAGCCACATTTTTTTGAAAATTTTTGCTTATCATTAAATAGGGAAAATAGAGCAAGAACTGATAATCCGAATTTTCCCTGTAACTACCCTCTCGGTTGAGATAAAGGATTGAAATTTGGTGTCAGATATTTAATTTCAGCAAGCTATCGAATGGTCCATCGCAAGATCAATTTGGTTTAAGAGCACTTTTGACCCCTTTATCCTGCAACACACTTTCTCGTGTGGAAAGTAGAGTATATCAATTAAGGAGTATTCAATTTTTCGAACGAGAAAAGATCTTTTCGAAACAAGTATTTAAATTAACTAGCATCGAATCTGTGTTTTACTTGATTTTACAACGAGATAACTTCAGAATTGTTTATAATTTCTGTCCTACAAATATTTGTACGTTTCGCATCGGCATTGGCAATTCCGGAATGCTCGAACCTCAGGGACCTCATCATATTTACGTAGACCTAGCTCGGTTGTACAAGAGTCTCCACTTAACGGCGATCCCTCAAAGAATGGTCTTGACTGGTTTTCTCACATAATCGTCTTACTTCAGGGAGAAGGTGGAAGGCTCGTTAAAATCAAATGTCCGCGGTTCGAGGATCTGAGCGGTTTCAAGTGTTTCATTTACTGCTGAAAGAAAGAAGGACGCGCGTTTCTTTTTTGCCAGAACTTTGATAAACTTGATCGTTGTAGGATAATTGTTCGAGAGGTATAATAGTATCCGTTTATAACTTTGCTTTGATTCTCTTACGATAACTAAAGTGATACGATCAACTGATTATTGTGCAGAAAGGATTGTTGACCATTTTTTACTAGAAATGCAAAATACATTATTCGTTCAAAGTGTGACTGAAAATAATTAGAGAATGATCATAAAATCTTATTTTATTTGAAAGACTTTAATTTTCATAAAAGTACCAAATCTCATACTCAGAGAGATGATTAGAAAGTGAAACCTAAGGAAACGACGTTAAAAACTCAATAATAAGAAGATTCACAGAAATGACTATTGTCCAAGAATTATAGCAGACATTCAAATTGTCCACCGTTGTTTTTTTATCGAAAGATAAATTCATATCAAGCTAAATTCCCAGGCGAGATGAACGCGTATACCAAATTCTAATAAAAATTGACTTACAAAACAAACCATTTCAAATCCTCGGAGCACTTCCAACTCATCCAAAGATCACTTCGACTACTAATTACTCCAAACTACAATACCTAAACCAAATTTCCCAACTGCTACATCTACTTTCACCCAACTGCAAAAAATAATAATCCAAAGAACGATCTAAAGAGGATGATTGTCGTCGATCGAAACTTGCGCTCCCGACGATTGATCGCGGCGTGGTGGGGGTAAGGTAGGCGGAGTGGGGGGTGAAAAACGGTGGGTCCGTCGTAGGTACGCTCCTGTTATTCCGAAAAGGC